TTCCCCTCCCAAGCCCCCCAGGACCTGGGGGAGGCGAGGATCATGAAGAGGTGCTGCATGCTGCGAGTGCAGAGCTGGGCCAGCAGTGCCCTGACCGTGGCCAGCTGGGAGCCCACCCTGGCACTGCTCTGGCCCTGCAGCACGGCTGGGGCAAGCTGGTTTCAGGCTCCTCCTGCAGCTCCACCAGCCTCTGGGACAGGAACAGCTCCAGCTGTGGGCACAGGGGACACTCAGCACTGCCATCCCCACGGAGGAGCTGTCCCTCCCCTGGCTGCCACTCACCTCCATGAGCTCATCGATGAACTGGTTCCTTGTCTCTGAGTTTTCCAGCAGCGTCAGAGCATCAGAGCCACAGGCAACTCCCTCAGGAACTGGGGTGGGGAGTGGGACAGGGATGAGAATCCTCATCCCTCTAATCCCTCTGCTCCATCCCCAACCCCTCTGTGCACAGCCACAGTGCCCTGGGGCACTTCGGGGGTGAGCTGGGGGTGAGGGAGTCCAGGATGGGAATTCCTATCCCTCAAAACCTTCTGCTCCATCCCCAATCCCTCTGTGCACAGCCACAGGGCCCAGGGGCACTCTGAGAATGAGGGAGGACAGGATGGGAATTCTCATCCCTCCAATCCCTCCCTCCCCATCCCTCCAATCCCTCTGCTCCATCCCCAACCCCTCTGTGCACAGCCACAGTGTCCAGCAGCACTTTGGGGATGATCTGGGGGTAAGAGGCCAGGATGGGAATTCTCATCCCTCCAATCCCTCCCTCCCCATCCCTCCAATCCCTCTGCTCCATCCCCAACCCCTCTGTGCACAGCCACAGTGTCCAGCAGCACTTTGGGGATGATCTGGGGGTAAGAGGCCAGGATGGGAATTCTCATCCCTCCAATCCCTCTGTGCACAGCCACAGTGCCCAGGGGTACTCTGGGGATGAGCTAGGGGTAAAAAAGTCCAGGATGGGACCCCCATGGACACCCCACCTTAGCTCAGCATCACCCCATGGCACTGCCAGGGGGGTCAGGACCCTAATCCTGCCCATCCAGCACCCAAAGGCACCTGCCCAGTACCACACTGTCCTCTGCTCTATCCCATACCCCTCTGTGCCCGGCCAGGATGCCCAGGAACACTTTAGGGATGAGCTGGGGGTGATGGGACCCCCACAGCTGAGTCTGGTCCCCACCTCCCCCTCTTCGAGGTGCTCAGCACCATCCCAGCTCCCTCCTGCCCACCCAGCACCCAACAGCTCCATCCCCAGCCCCTCTGTGCCCAGCCAGGATGCCCAGGGGTGCTGGGAAGAGGGAACAAGGTGTGGTAGGTGCTGCCTGTCCCCCCTTGGGAGCCCCAGCCCTGCTCACCCTCAGTGCCAGCGTCCACCACGGTGATCTGCACCTCCTCAGCATCACCATCTCCCCAGTCAATGCCATCGTCCTGAAACCAAGGGCACACATGGTGACATGGGACACCCCAGGACACCCCCAGGGCCCTGGGGAGGCTCTGAGGCACAGCCAGGGGGGCACACACCTGGGCACTGGGCTCCACAGTGATCCCCCAGTCGATTTCCTCGCCCTGGGCACCCCCAGGGGCATTGGCACTGTCACCCTCCTGGGTGGGCTCCAGCGTGAAGTCTCCCCAGTCAATCTGTGAGGAAAAGCACACACACCCCCATGAGGTCCAGCCCAGCCCTCAGGACACACAGCAGGACAATTTGGGACTCCCTCCAAACCCTCCAGGACTCACTGTGTCCTCCTTGGGTGGCTCTGGCACCTCCTCCAGCTCTGGGCGCTGTACCCGGAGAGGTTCCTGCCCAGTCCTCCACTCGTACACCGTCGTGTTCCCTCTGCTCCTCACGTGCCTCAACAGTGGCACCACCACCTCTGCAGGGCTGGCAGCCACCATGGGGGGGACATCAGTCCTGGGGACCCTCCAGCACCCACAACCCTGCTGGGACAACCCCAGCCTGGGCACAGAGGACAGGAGGGTCTGTCCCAACCCCGCTGGGACAACCCCAGCCTGGGCACAGAGGACAGGAGGGTCTGTCCCAACCCCGCTGGGACAACCCCAGCCTGGGCACAGAGGACAGGAGGGTCTGTCCCAACCCCGCTGGGACAACCCCAGCCTGGGCACAGAGGACAGGAGGGTCTGTCCCAACCCCGCTGGGACAACCCCAGCCTGGGCACAGAGGACAGGAGGGTCTGTCCCAACCCCGCTGGGACAACCCCAGCCTGGGCACAGAGGACAGGAGGGTCTGTCCCAACCCCGCTGGGACAACCCCAGCCTGGGCACAGAGGACAGGAGGGTCTGTCCCAACCCCGCTGGGACAACCCCAGCCTGGGCACAGAGGACAGGAGGGTCAGAGGACAGGCGAGTCTGTCCCAACCCCACTGGGCCAACCCCAGCCTGGGCACAGAGGACAGGAGGGTCTGTCCCAACCCTGATGGGACAACTCCAGCCTGGGCACAGCCTCTCCATGGGGACAGGGGATGGGAAAGTCTGTCCCTGAGGATCTGTCCCAACCCTGCTGGGACAGCTCCAGCCTAAGAACAGCCTCTCCATGGGGACAGGAGGGTCTGTCCCAATCCCACTGGGAGAGCCCCAGCCTGGGCACAGCATCTCCATGGGGACAGGGGATGGGAAAATCTGTCCCAACCCTGCTGGGACAACCCCAGCCTGGGCACAGAGGACAGGAGGGTGTGTCCCAACCCCACTGGGACAAGCCCAGCCTGGGAACAGCCTCTCCATGGGGACAGGGGACAGGAGGGTCTGTCCTAATCCCATTGGGAGAGCCCAAACCTGGGCACAGAGGACAGGAGGGTCTGTCCCAACCTCACTGGGAGAGCTCTAACCTGGGCACAGAGGACAGGAGGGTCTGTCCCAACCCTGAAGGGACAACTCCAGCCTGGGCACAGAGGACAGGATGGTCTGTCCCTGAGGGTCTGTCCCAACCCCACTGAGACAGCCCCAGCCTGGGAACAGCCTCTCCATGGGGACAGGAAGGTCTGTCCCAACCTCACTGGGAGAGCCCCAGCCTGGGCACAGAGGACAGGAGGATCTGTCCCTGAGGGTCTGTCCCTGTCCCCACCTGTCACACACAAACTCCATGCAGGCCTGGTACAGCTCGATGGCCTCTCCCAGTGCACTCACTCCTGCCCCAATCTGCCCCAGCACCGTCGGCAGATCCTTCACCAAGGCCAACAGCTCCTGGCGCACGTTGTCACCCTGGGGACACAGCAGGGACACATCAGGGAGGGGGGTGACAAATCACCAAAACACACCTGGAGCAACTTCACCCTCTGCTCACCGGGCAGAGAGCTGTGGGGGCATCTCACACCTCCCTGGGTACCGGTGGCACCGCAGGGATGCTCTGCTCCCCTTTGAGGGCACATGCCAGGGGTGGGGACACTTGGTGGGCCCAGCAGGTTCTTGGGGGGACTCACAGTGATGCCATACTGCCTGCAGGAGGCAAAGAAACGCTCCCGGAGCTCAGCTGCTCCCAGCTGGCACTCGTCCTCACGCCGGGACAGCTCCTGCTGTGCCTGCTGGCACCTCCCGATCTGCCTGCGCAGGGCTGGCACCTCGTAGCTGATGCTGCGCACCAGGAGGCTCGAGAGCTCGGCTGGGAGGGGGAAAAAAGGGGGTCAGGAGCTCTGGGGGCACCCACAGGGGTCTCGGGGTGTGCTGGGCACTGTGGCAGAGCCAGCGAAGGGTTGTGGCCATAGGGAGAATCCACAGCGTGTTGTGTTCTTTCCATGGTCATCCCAAGTCCATGCCAGTTTGGGGAGTGAATTCTACCTGTTCACAGAGCTTCAGACACCTCAGAGCTCTCATCCCAGTGGGATTCAGCATCCCATTATGGACTGCCCATCCCATCCCAGTTTGGGGACTGAATTACACCTGCCCACAGAGCCTCAGACACCTCAGGACTCTCATCCCAGGGGGATTCAGCATCCTATTATGGACTGCCCCCCCCATCCCAGTTTGGGGAGTGAATTCCACCTGCCCACAGAGCCTCAGACACCTCAGAGCTCTCATCCCAGTGGGATTCAGCATCCCATTTTGTACTGTCCATCCCATCCCAGTGTGGAGACCAAAGTCCTCCCAATGACACCCCCAAGGGGTCTCCAGAGTCTCCTCAGCCTTACCCAGGTAGGTGTTCTCCTTCTCGTAGAGGGACACAATCTCCTGCCAGTCCTGGGGAGAAGGAAGAGGAGGATGAGGAAGAGGAGGAGGAGGAAGAGGAAGATGAGGAGGAGGAAGATGAGGAGGAGGAAGGCTGAGCCCTCCTCACCCTGTCTCACCTTCATGCGTTGGGACGAGTAGCGCCCAAAGAGGTTCTTGGTGGAGGCCTCAGTGCCCTTGAGGATCTCCACGATCCGCAGACAGTGGAAGTAGTGCAGGTCTGGGATGGAGGAAGGATTGGATTACCAGGAGGTCTGGGAAGTCACTAGGAGCTTTGGGGGCACCACCAGGAGGTCTGGAGAGGTCACTGGGAGGCTTAGGAAAGTCACCAGGAGGTTTGAGGGTATCACTGAGAGGTTTGGGAGGTCACCAGGAGGATTTGGTGGCATCGTTGAGAGATTTGGGGGCATCACTGAGAGGTCTGGGGGCATCACCAGGAGGTTTGGGGGCATCATAGGAGGTTTGGGGGCACCACTGAGAGATTTGGGTGGTCACCAGGAGGTTTGGGGGTACACAGAGAGGCTTAGGGGCATCACCAGGAGCTTTGGGGACATCACTGAGAGGTTTTGAGGCATCACTGAGAGGTTCGGGAGGTCACCAGGAGGTTTGAGGGTATCACAGGGAGGTTTAGAGGCATCACCAGGAGGTTTGGGGGCATCACTGAGATTTGGAAGGTCACCAGGAGGATTTGGAGTATCACAGGGAGGTTTGAGAGGTCACCAGGAGGTTTAGGGGCATCACCAGGAGCTTTGGGTGATGCCCACCCCAGGCCCACACATCTCCACTGGGCCACCACCAACTCCCATCCCTGTGTCAGGAGGTATCACCACCACCAAACCCTTGGGAAGAGGCACTCCAGGTGTGTTCCCCCTGCCATATCCCATCTCTCCCGAGGGATCCAACCCCCAGTGGCACTCACAGGCTCCTTCCAGCAGCTGTTTGATCTCCTGGTTCTCTGGCATGTCCTGGATGGCTGTGTCGATGCGCTGCCGGATGA